GAATAATTAATCAGGGAACAAAGTATATTGTAACGTTCCTTTATTTTGTAACCAGTTATTTTATTCTTGGGATCTTAACTGTCAATTTCCTCCATCCGTTTGTTTTCTCACTAGAATCCAAATGAAGTTTTTATTTTGTAAAACAAACCATGTTTTGCCTTTTGAGGCCACATTAATAGGTTGCTAGATAAGAAAAGATTTGTAGTCTTCAGCCTTGCATTATAATTGCTGATAGTTGAATTCCATGCCAGTTAAGTTTTTTAACCAACTTTGCATTAAATTGATTTGTGCAGCCTTTGGGCTACAAATTTATTTGAATTTAAATTTTACATTTGAACTTAATTGTTATCATAAGTTATCTTGTCCACAAGTGGTTGACCAAGTCGTAAGTACAAAGTGTGCCTTTTGTTCTGTACATCTAAACTTTATAATAGAATAAAAGTATATCTTAATAAGAATATATCTAAACTTTATGATAATAACATTTAAAGACATTGAAATCAGTATCTAAGTGCTTGCCATGTAGTCAAATTTTTATATATAAATTGTACTTACTTTTATTATAGAGTTTTTATTACAAAAAATTCAGATTTCTGTTAGATAAAATGTTTAAGTAATGTATAAAATTTGCATAAAATCTAAAATAAAAAGTCGACTGTTATGTCAACATACTATTAATAAAAAGTAATAATACTCAGTGAAGGTTTATTCATATACAGCTGTTAAGATTATGTAAGATTTACAAAATTTGAGAACTCTAAATTATAAGCAATATATCTAAGCAACATTATATTTTTTATAGTCAGACAAATTATGAAAATGTTATAAAAGCAATAATGAAACCTGATTTGAACCTATGAATTCATGCAATTACACATCCCTATAGTTCTAATATGAGGTATACAAGTATTTTTAGACCATGGTAATTTTAATCTCCTTAGCAAAGGAAACACCAAGAGTTTACCTCATGCTCCTGAAAATGTGTTTTTTTTTTCCTTGGGGGGGGGTGGCGTTTATAATAATATGCAGAGTTGACATGAAAAAATGTCAAGACTCATATGATGTAATATTAAAAGCACCAGTTTTAACTATCACAAATTTGGCTTTTTAAAAAATATTTTGAATGTTGCGCTTTCCTAACACAAAAGTAACTTTAAGAAAAACACACAATTTATCCCTCCTGCCATCAAAGCTCTGATACCTATCAAATTCGTTGAAGTTACGTTGACAGAAATGGCGGCATGTTGGTTATATAACTTTTCATTTATCGCTCCAAAATGTCGCCAAAAAGGACTAATACTAAAGCTGTGCCAACTTTTCACTAGTCTGACAATTTAAACAGTGATAACAGACGAATTATATGCAGTAACAGCCACAAGTCAAATTGGTAAAATCCTAGTATACGGTGCAGCCTTGGCGCAATTTTGAAAATTATCGCCAACACCAAAAATTGCCAAAAGAACGTCTATGTATATATAGTGATGGTATACTATACACTATCAATGTATAGATATACTATGTATAACTATATACAGTGAGTCCCAAAATTGAGGGTACACTCCATTCTACAAAAGAATTCGTGTTTAGAATGAAAACAAAAACTAAGATAAAGACAGTCACCAAAACCTTTAGACGAGGATGTAGAAAGATATCTAATCTTAATATTTATTCATAAATAGACAAAAAAATGCATGAAATACAGAAACAAAATGTACAACCGAAATAGTCAAAAATCTGAGCTCACAAAATTGAGGGTACATGTAATTCTTTTATTATATAAATTATAAAAAAACACATTACTATTTTGTAGCATACCCAGTGGCTTTGATGACAGCTTCCAGCCACCGGGACATCGAATCAATAAGATTTTTCGTAATTTCCGTTGAAATGTTTTCCCACTTCCTTTTAGTAACTGTTCAAATGTTCTTTAACTTGTGATCTGATGTTTTCAGACCTCTTTTTTCAAGGTGGGTGGGACCACAAATTTTCGATCACGTTCAAATCAGGAGGTTGAGGGGGTGTGTTCAGCTTATTTCGGCAGTGATACAGCAGCCATTCTTGACAGTACTTGCTGTATGCTTTGGATCATTATCCTGTTGAAATGGTGAATTTTGATCCTAGTCCCAATTGAGTAGCATTGTCCTTCAAATTATTTTTCAATATATTAAGATAACCTGTTTTATCCATTATTCCATCAATAAACACTAGCTTTCCAATTCCCAATGATGCCATACAGCCCCAAACCATTACTGACCCACCTCCATGCCTCACAGTTGGAATTGTGTTTCTTGGATCTAAAGCTGAATTCTTCTTGCGCCATACCACACGATGACCGTCACTGCCAAAAACATTAAATTTACTCTCATCGCTGAAAATAACATCATTCCAGAACTCTTTAGGCTTTAGAATGTGCTCCTTTAGCAAATTTAATCTCTTAGCTCTATTATTTTACTAATGAAGGGCTTTTGGGAGCTTTTCTGTCATTATAACCAGCCGTTCTGAGGATTCTGCGCACTGTTTCTGCAGAAACAGATTTACCCACAGTTTCGAAGTACTTGCAGCAATTTTTGGAGCACTTATTATAGGATCAATCCTTACCTTGTGTATAATTCTCCTCTTGCTGATCAACTGAGAATTTTCTTCCTGCCTCTCCTGCTTGGTTTTCCAGCATACCATCTTTCTAAATTTTTGAATGATTTTTCTAATACAATTTACACTTCATCCAAGTATTTCTCCTATTTTTCTCAAAGATTTGCATTGATTAGACAGATTAATGTCCAGTTTTCTTTCCTCAATCGTCGTTTCTTTCCTATTCTCCATAATATTTGTCACACAGAAAGGTAGTAAGTTCAAATTTGAAATATTTGGATACTAAAAGGTTGTATTTTTGTATACTAAATCTTAGGTTGTTTAAAATTTTACTGGTAGTTTTACACAGTCATTTAAGAAGTGTACTCTCAATTTTGTGACTTTCAGAAGTTGAAGATTTTCGTTTAAGTAATATATTTTTTTAAACAGAGTTTTATAACTTATTTTTTGTGTAGTTAAGAAGAAAAATGTATATTTTTTAATGAGACAAAACCTAGGAAAACTTGCATAATAATTTCTATTCTCAATAGCCTACAAATTAAGTTAGCATTAAGTGTACCCTCAATTTTGGGACTCGCTGTATATTCTTTGAATACCCGTTTAATACTCATCGTATATGTCCCATTTTTACTGCTCATCATAAAAGTCGCCAAATCCCGTGTGCGCCGGATACTAGGATTAAACCATCAAATTTTATAAAAAGGTAAAACTGCCTAATGTCCCTCATAAAATTAAACTACCATCAAATTTTTTCAGACCACCTGTCGCTACATTCAAATTTTTAATCATAGAGACATATTAACTATAGCAGTATTAAATATTCTTAATACTTCATAGCAAACAATGAAGGGTGCTACTTCGGTAGACGGTTGCACAGATTTTGGCGAGTTTTGGGCAATTTTTCTTTTGGCGAGTAATACGACTTATGGTAAACCCATTGCTGGATAAGTTATTTATGGTAACCGATACTTTGTTGACATTTTATTTAAAAAATAATGCGTGTTATTATGCATAAATTCCGTGTACCAAAGTAGCACCAAACAATTAAAATATACATCGCAAACATAATCCAATTTCTTTACATGAGAAAAAATATGGTTACAAGTTTTTAAACTTGAGTAACACATTTACTAAGCCACTACTATTGAACCAGATTTACACGTTATATATAATTTTAAGTTTCACCTCTTAAATTATTTCATGCCAAATTCTGCATATTCTTAGAAACTTGTGTTCCACATCAACAGAATTACTTAAACCAAAAATTACAACCTAACTTATAAAGCTGCTCTCATAATCTGCCTTATATTTGTTATCATTTTCAATCAAATGGTAAGCTTAATCATTGAACAGCTTTTTCAAATAGAGATCTAAATTAATCTACTGCACTTTCCAATACTATATATATATGAGGTCAAAGATCTGGTATGCTGATTGACCATTAATAGTAAACCGACAGTCCTCGAAGCATTAATCAGTTAACTTCGCTGAAATAAATGGCAAAACTGTACGTGAAAAAAGTCAAGTTATTCTCGCTGGAATAAATGGCAAAAATGTATGAGAAAAGAACACTTATTTTACTACAATTTCCATTTTGAATAGGATTTAACCGCATAGCATTCAGCTTAAATACATTTAGTAAACAGACATCATTACCCCATATTTGTCCACGTACCATATGGAGGAATAGATAAAGACCAGACAAGTATTGTTTTGGCAGCTACACGCAAAATCAACATTTTTAGGAATAATAATATGAACATAGCTCTTAGTATACGATTAAACTTAGCTTTCCTAAAATTCATATTACCGACACTTAATAAAAGTCAACTCTGAATACACGTGGGTAAGAAACTAACGATTTGTTCAGAGATATTATTGGCAATCGGTTTACATCGAAAATACCGTTTAACTTGAAGATGATATTTCAAAACATTCCCACTTATTCGAAAACAATCAATAAAGCAAGACCATTAGTTGCAAAAAAAAATAACTCACTCACTACACCTTACCTACGTTACCTAAACTCAGAGATGAACAGCTTGTTCTTAGTCATTACTTCCTCAGCGAAGCTCTTCCAAAGAAATCTCTTCTAGCCAACTTGCTCGAATAAAACAATGTTGCCAGTTCGATATTACTAACTTCGGACAATGAATTGACTGAACGCTGTAAAAGTAAATAAGGAAATTAGTTCATTATCATAAAAATATACCACTAGTTATAACTAATTATTTTTAATAATTGAATCTAATTTTTAATCTTTGAAACGAAACCAGTAAAAAATACAGGACAAAGACTTTGGTTGAAAACTTAAACTAAGTGTTTTTAACTAGAAAAGCAAGAAGAAAGATTAAAAATTGTTTATATAAAATTTAAAATGCAATTTTTTTTTTTTTTTTTTTTTTTTTTAAGAAGGGGCTTCTGAATTAAATTCCCAATTAATTCATTGGATTCTGGGAATGGCAACAAATAAGACCAAAATAATTGCTTAGTTTCCTTCTTCGTAAGTTTCTTAATTTTTAATATTTTTGTAGTGTAAGTATTAATATAAAATGTGTATTATTTAACGTATACTCTATAAAAAAGTTTAGTTTTCAAAAATTGGGATCTTTAATGTGGATAATTTATCCTCTTTAAAAGCCTAATCTTTGCATAGTAATATAAACTCATGTAATATTTTTAAAAAGTAATTTGTTAAAATACTTACGTGTAAATTTTTTTCTCTGAATAAATGGCAAAAGTCTTGTAATGCTATCACAAGAAGTAACGTTTTTTGGAGAGCTATGGTTTGTGAAAGTTTATATATATCCAAAAAAGTGATTCCCCCCCCCAATACCTTCTTCAGTAATAAGTTACAATTTTTTTTAACCTTTAAAATAGAGGGTAAAATATAAAGGGTATATTCTTATTATTCATATCCTTACCAAACTCCTTACGAGCTTTGAAGACAAACATTTCTTTGTGCAACTTTTTCCATGCTATGCATGCACACACCTGTCGATTTTTTGCACTGTTGTTTTTGCCATACATGTAGTTAGCTATCTGTTTTTCATAATAGAAAACTAAGAATTCCACAAACTTGTCATCACACACAACTTCATCACCAAAATCCTTAACTGATAAGGGGGGAAGGTGCATGATGCCTTTAAGCAAGCCATCTTATGTTCTATCCATGCAGAAAGCTGAGCTTGAGATAATGGCAAATATGACAAAAACTATAGTAGTGGTCCATCGCTGTGCCAAAATATTGAAATTTCTATAAGTTGTATCATAATTTTCAGTCACCACGGCCCAAAAAAATGAAAGCATTCTGGGGGGGAGGAATGCTCTGCGTACACTTGGATAGCACATAAATATTTTTTTGGTGAAATCATGGGTTGCATCATAGATACTTTTGGTCATGTAGCATGTTGCATTGTCACTACCGTTTTGCACCTTTCCAGTGGGGATGCAGATAATCAGAAAGTACTGTAGAAAGTTATACTTTTTTATGAGTAGATTTTGAGCAAACTGAGCATAGGGTTTATGTTCAACTAAATGCAGCAAAGCATACAAGGACCATCTGTATAAGGAGAGCAAAACATTTTGGTTTTTTTCTTACTGTAGTGGCCCTCAAAATTTTAATCGCTTATCGATTGAGATGTAATATGTGGCAAGATATCTTGATTGATAAGTGATTAGATCTTGGGACTGCTATAATAAGGAAGTACGAACTTATGAAAAACATTCTTATGTTTATATGTAACACAGATTATATAACTTAACATGTTCTTGAAGTGACTCTTCCTCTCTGTAAAGGGTAGTGCTGGGCAAAATATTCGTAACAATAAATATATTTGCACCATCAAATATTTGCATGTTCAAATATTTGCAGTCTAGTGCTATTCTAGTTTGCCAAATCACTTGAGTTGTTTCCTGTACGTGAGGAAATGCAGGCTGATCTTTACATTATGGTAACTTGGCGATTTTTTGGCGAAAATTTGGCAACCAACTCTCCTACAGCAACCCTCTATTTTTTTTTCCCACCGCCATTTTGTCTTCACAAACTAAAGACATGTTTCTTTTCTTTTTATCTACTGAACACTTCTTCCAACAATCTACTAGCCGAATTATACTTATGCTAGAAATTTTATCTAACAAAACTGCTTAATCATGACATATATTCACTGCAAAATTGGGAAAAAGTGCACAATACCATACTCCTTATGCGTTTTTCAAAATAACACATACACATAAACCGCCCACCAGCGGCCGAGCGGTAAAGTCGCTGAACACTGGTAGTTCGGTCCGAGGTTCGAATCCCGCGAACGGGCTGGCTGCATGGGCGTTTTCGTGGTTTTCCCCATGTGTAACGTGTATACGAGCCAGTTTCCCTTAGAAAGTCCTCCACGAAAGGCATCCCTCCCCTTAGGCAGATAGCCCTCGTGTGCTTTGCCATAATTAAATACACCACACCATACACATAAACCATGTACACGCCGACTTATTTTTACTTAAAAAAACATCCCAGAATTGCACAAAAATGCCATTGCGCACACTCTTCACTATATCCATGTACACTGCTTTTTTCCTCATAAATTAGAAAAATTTCACGAAAATACATGACAATTTTATCAATCTTTAACCCGGTAAAAAGAACATATATGAAATTACCTGATTGCGAAAAAGTATTTTTACAAATATGAACATTTCCACATATAAAATAAATAAAATATCCAAAAACTTTTACCTCTAAATCATCTATTACCTTATACACGTCACCAACGAATTCATATCGCAAGCATTACAAATACTTAGTATCAAATATTTAAATTATTTCCGTGCACGTTTATTTCAACTTAAACGTATACCAAATTCCTACAAACATAAAATTCACAAAATAACTATTATTTAATTAAAATATCACTAAACCATGTACACGTCGACTTATTTTTACTTAAAAAAACATCCCAGAATTGCACAAAAATGGCATTGCGCACACTCTTCACTATATCCTGTACACTGCTTTTTTCTCATAAATTAGAAAAATTTCACGAAAATACATGACAATTTTCTCAATCTTTAAACCGGTAAAAAGAACATGTATGAAATTACCTGATCGCGAAAAAGTATTTACTCTTTACAAATATGAACATTTCCACATATAAATAGATAAAATATCCAAAAACTTTTACCTCTAAATCATCTATTACATTATACACATCACCAACGAATTCATACCGCAGCATTACAAATACTTAGTATCAAATATTTAAATTATTTCCATGCACGTTTATTTTAACTTAAACGTATACCAAATTCCTACAAAAAAAATTCACAAAATAACTATCATTTGATTAAAATATAATTAAATTCAAAAACCACTACTACTAAAATATAAATGAGCACATAATTAATTAAAAATTACCTTACAATCCTAATTACTTTAAACTAAATCATTGCTAATAACAATTTTCCCAATAATACCAAATTCCTTTCCACCTTACATTAGAACAATGCATAAAAATAATATCCTCAAATAATTAAAAATACTAACTTACCTAATCTTCTTCAGAATCTTGATTACGTGGCGGATACACTTTTCTAATTCATTCAATAAAATTATTGAAAGATTTTTTTCTGCGAATTTTTCCTCCATACTTCCTCCGCTAAATAAAAAGCAAACTTCTCTTTATCACAATGCCTAAATACCATTTCGAATTCACTTTAGTTAGGGCCGTGGGATTCCAAAAATTAAACAACACTGTTTCACACAACACAGAATAAAGCTAAATACAAAATTTCCACATTTTTTCCCGATTTCCCCCCTTTTCCGATTAAAGAACCGTAATTCGTCCATTGATATCACATGACATATCCCATGATCTCTCATTTCCCTCACGCAAAATAATGCATAATCGGAACTGAGTACTGCTCACATTATTACCAAAGTCCCAGGTAGTAACCTTTATCGCCTCCAAAATGTCGCCAAACTACCAGTTACCATATTGTAAAGATCAACCGAAATGCATTATCTTGCATTTATGTGCAGATTCTTGTTTGGTAATTAGAATACTGATTAATGTAATGCTTGCCGATTACAGTTCAGCCATGTTTTGAGAAATTAAGAAGTGATCCCCTTGTGGTCAGTCACCATGAATTTTCATCATAATTGAGGATGTAATACCATTCTTTAGACTAATTCTTTGTCATTGTATCACAAAACCCACATTTTATTCTGTATCATAAACTTGTAAAAAATGGTACTTTCTGATTATCTCTAACCCCGAAAATGTTTGGTTGAACTGCCCTTTTTTATATATATAATTTTTAGTATACACGTAATAATAAGTAACCCAAACATACACATACCACATACATGTTTGAATACACTCAGATTTATACAGTCAAAAGTCGTTAATTAAATACTAAATGTAGTATTTCATCTCGATGTACTCCATCTTTGATATGATTTAAATCAAATTCCTCATCATTATAAATATCACGAATAGAAATCAAATAGTTTTCTGTTTGCAATTTTCTAATTTCGACTATGCATAATGTATGCTTTACACATGTGTGCGTTGGAAGAAATGTTTAATAAAGTAAACAAATAAATATTAAGCTTTTTTTTTTTTTTGTAAATTTCAATACCCTTTAGATCATAATTGCTCTTTATTTCATAAATTACGGTTTCATATTTTTAATTTTATAATTTCTGCATGCCATCTTACCAGATTTAAACTGATGATCTATAATCCGGAAAAATCAATAATCCGGAATCGCCGAAGTCCCAACTAGTCCAGATTAAAGGCTTTTGACTGTATTCAGTTTACAGTAGTCTAAATCATCCATTGCTATTTGTACTGCATTGTGATTACAGCCCACATGTTCAAAAAGCTCACAGATTATCTACCCAGTTCAGTTCTGTTAAAGATTCATGACTTTCCAAAGTTTGTGTAAAGTGTTGATTTCTCGGTTGATCTTTGGATTATGGTAACTTGGCGATTTTTTGGCGAAAATTTGGCGACCAACTGTGCTACAGAAACTTTCTACTTTTTTTTTTCGGCGCCATTTTGTCTTCACGATGTAAAGACATGTTTCTTTCCTTTTTATTTACTGAACACTTCCAACAATCTGCTAGCCGAATTACACTTAAGCTAGAAATTTTATGGAACAAAACTGCTTAATCATGACAAATATTAACTTCAAAATTGGGAAAAAGTGCAGAATCGCAAACTCCTTGCTGCGTTTTTCAGAATCGCACATAAACAGTAACCATGTACACGCCGACTTATTTTTACTTAAAAAAACATCCCAGAATTGCACAAAAATGGCATTGCGCACACTCTTGACTTTATCCATGTACACTGCTTTTTTCTCATAAATTAGAAAAATTTGCACGAAAATGCAGGAAAATTTTGTGAATCTTTAAACTTGGTAAAAAGCGCATATAGGAAATTACTTGATCGTGAAAAAGTATATACACTTTCCAAGGATGAACATTTCCACGTATAAATTAAA